TCCCGCCCTTTCCTGACCCCACCCCGCCATGTCATCACTCCCAAGTTTTAAAGTAACATTTTAATTATGAACAAATAAAATTTCAGATCAGCACAACCAGATGTCTGTTTCCATATTAGTAGAAATTATTTCAAAAAGTTTTTTTTCTTTTCCAGTACACAAAACAGAGATACTACTATGCAGAAATCCCTAAGCTGTGAAAAATCATATCCTACTCACATTTCAACAGTGACAGAGCTTAGACAATATGCAGATTCAACTTTCCAATCCTTCCCTGAACACCCAACACTTGGACATCTGCTCTTCACAATACCAGCGGGGCTGGGAACGATTTTGGAAAACAGACCAGTCCATGGTTCTGCCAACAGCGGTGTGCGTGTGGTACGCGCGCTCGAGCCCGAGCCTCACTACAGCCCCGCGACGCAGGGCGCAACCCCCTCTTACAGATAGGGAAACTGAGGCACGTAGAGTTTTTAAGTGACTTTGTCTCAAACCACACAGTGAGCGAGTTAGCTAAGCCGGGGACAGGTCCCAGATAGGTCCCACTGCTGCCTTCTCTGCTTCCACCTCTTACAGACTCATTTAAGCTAAACCTACAGACAATGCGTCCAGGATACAAACATGCCACCAAAAATATATATATATATTTATAGGTATATATATATATCTCAAACGAAGTTCTACTTAAAGTGTTGTATCTGTTTCTTAATCTAACAAAAATTCTAACTCAAATACATTCCAAATTACTTGCACCCACAGTTCAGTTTAGGCAATTAAATAATTAAGAAACCCCTCGAATGTTCATAATTCAGAAAAAAAAAAAGGCAAATAGCTGTCAATACTCCTAGGTATATTAAAGAAAGATTAAGGCACCCAGAGATATTTGCCAATCTACCTTTAAAGTGACTGGGCAAACCCCAGGACTGTTTGGTTACTGCTCCTCAGCTTCCACCCTAATTCCAGATTCTGGACCTGAATCAGCAATTGAAATTTGAAAGGAACCCTTGATGCCAAACCCCGCTTCTCTGCTGAGAGGATGTGAAATATTGCAGCATGTCACGGCACGCTTCTCTGCCATAGTGTATGTCACACAACACCTTAGGGGCACCAGGAGCAAGGAAATTGTTCTCCTCAACTTCTCCCCTCCCCACATCCCTTTCAAATTACTGGCTGGAGCAAACTTATCCTCACTGGAGATGTCTGAGTTCAGAGGGGTTCAGACTAGAGCGAAATCACTCTGCAGTTACAGAGCTAACAGTGTTTCTCTCTTTTTGGAAGGCTTTTTCAGTTTTTTAAATGGTAGGATACAATTCTAGCCACAATCCCCCTTTGCCCCAGCCAGCACCTAGACTGTCATGAGCCTCAGAGCAGTAAGGGTGCTGTCTCCTGACACTGGCAGCTGAAGGGGCCCCTGCTCCGTTCCTCCCTGTTGTACCTCTCGACTGGAGACATTGCTCCCAAAGTCTCAGAACCTCAAAAGGTCCCACTGCTCAGCCATAACACGGCCATGGTGGTGGCAGGGAGAGGAAAGGAGAGGAGGACTTCTTTTCTGAGTAACAAGCATGTGCTTGTTCAGGAGAACATCACAGAGCTCTCCTGGCCCCCGGTGAGTTTCATAGCAGCAGGAGAAAGCAAAGCTGCAGAGACTCGATCCCGTGAAGCTTGCCTGGCTGCTACATGGCAGAGCTGAAGTGAGGAAGTTGGCATCCGCTCCATCTCTGCCCTCCGTGGCCTGCCAGAATAAGGGAGACGCTGCAAACCCCACTCCAACATCACCTCGTTCTGGCCACCTCTTGTGCTTTCCTTCAGCTCCATGTGATGCATTTAAGCAACAAAAATGACACTATTGCTACAACTAATAATTATAATAATACAAATTGATAATAATGGGGAGAGTTAAGAGGGAAAAAAGCACAATTCAGCCCAGTGAGGGGCTCGGGGCCATGATACCCAGAACCTAACCCACTGCCTGAACTCCAGCTGCGGTCTCTGCAACTTGCAAGAAACAACACCCACAAGGAATTTTTTTTCCCAGCACACCCTCCAGCTGTGTGCCCACATCAGCTTGGTGATATAACTGACCTTTCTGCAGGCTCAGCCGCCCTCGCTGCCCGCCTGGCCAGTGAAGGAGTGAGGAAGCGAGATGGCTCGCTGCAGGGTCCGGCAGACAAGCTAAGGGGCTAACGAGGAGCTACTTTTGCTACCTCTTCCCGCTCCCTCAGAGGAGCAGGGAATGGCAAACCTGGGGGGGTGCACCCTGGGCAGGAAAGCCCGGAGGTGGCCCACACCGGTGGCAGTGCCTCGCCTCGGAGGTCTGGGCTCCCTCAAGCCCCCCGTGGCACCTAGCCCTGCGTTGGTGTTTTTCAGGCACTTGTTAATCAACCGAGCGGAGGCCCTGAAGATGGAGAGACCTGCTCCTGCAGCAACTCTCAACCCTCTCTACACCTGGCCCCATCCCTGTGCTCAGCATGGGATGCAGATCCACAGGGCAGGCACGAACACCAGGACATCTGCCTGTCACCCAGCTGGGACCCTGTTTCCCCAGCACATAAAGCAGCTTAACTCAGCGGTGGAGCTTTGGTTTACATCTTTCTCCCCCTCTCCATTTTGGCAAGGGCCTGTTTGCCAGCAAAAAAGTCAACAGTGCTGGCAAACAAAAGCACCCTGGCCTGGTGCCGCCTCACAGCAGCCAGTGGCACACCCTTCCATCTGTCCCCCTTCTTGCTGTGACTCTCCAAAGGGGCTGTGAGCCTGGAACCAGGCTCTGCCTTCAGTCCCCGGTGGCATGGGCCTCAGCGGGCAGTGCAGGGAGGCTGTGACGCCAGAGAGAGGAGGTAATAAGGCCACCAAGGCTTCCCTCTAGTGCCTGCTGCCAGCACCAGACCCCTCCCCAGCCACCCATGGACCTGTCTGGAGCTCTGGGGTCTCTCCTCTCCCCAGCCAGAGAGGCTATGCAGTGGAGAGAACACTTCCCAGGCGACATCTTGGAAAGAGACAACACTCATTCTGATGGCAAGGGAAGGGGATGAGACTGCTTTTCCTGGGGAGAAGAGTTTAGCCATGCCATATCTGTCTGCATCCCTTAAGAAAGGATGAGGGACAGAGAAAGGAATTTTGGGGGGAAGGTGGTGGGGAGAAGGTCACTGACTTTGGCTCAACTCTTCAGCTGGCTGGTACAGGCTTCCCCTAACACTGTGGTATACAGGGGCCTCCCTGGACTGCTTCTACCAGCTCCTCTGCCAGGGAGAGACGGGGAAACATAAAGCAGGAGACGGGGTAGAGGGGCTGGAGAGAAACAACAGAGAGGAAAAGGAGAAGGGGGAAGGGGTGGCCTTGCGTTATAAAGGCAGAGTCCTAGATCTTAAATACATCACGTAAAATATAGCGTGGGAGGGGGGTTAAAACTCATTATCTTGAGCAAACTGGTAGCATTATTCAGTAGTTAGTAAACAGAATATTAAACCTTTGTCCAGCGTGTTCGGAGGGGTCAGGAAGGGAGAAAGGGAAAAAAAAGGAGGGAGAGGTGTGGATGCGTGTGTGAATGGGAGCAGGAACTCAGCCACTCTTGTGACTCCCATCTCCAGTCCGCATTTTCCGAGCCAGAATGACCTCCTTGGAGACCTTCTTGCGATCGCTGGCCAGCCCCAGGAGGCACATGAGGTCAATGAAGGCTGTGGTTAAGTTGAAGCGCCAGCCAAACTCACTGGTGGAGTAGTCGTAGGGGAAGGTGTGGTGGTAGTTGTGGAAGCCTTCTCCTGCAAAACACAGCCAGGGAGAGGATGTTGCAGAGCTCTGGGTGATGGCCCCTTTATCTTGGCCACATTCCTGAAACAGGCTCTGGACTGAGCCCAAGCTCCTCTCTCCTCTCAGCCCAATTTCACCTCCCTACAATCTACCCCATCTCATTTGGGCATGGTCCAGCATGCCCAGGCTGTCCCAAATGAGACAATGACAGTCACAGAGGACCTATAGCGCTTTGGAGGAAAATGAGCATGTGTCGAGGAACTGAGGATGACTCTGGCTCACCGACTGTGCCGAAGCACCAGGGGAACCCCAATGACTTCTCCTCTGCCACCACGTCTATTGCGTTCTAGTATTGGCTGAGCTACCAGCTGGACCTGCAGCAAGGCCAGGCCATGTCAGTCAATACTCCTACAACACTGGCAGTCCTAATGCCAAGTCCAAAAGGCATTTCCAGATGGGAATAATGCGTGATTTACCCCAGTCTGCTATCGTCTGCTCCAGACACTGTCAACGCTGGCTTCAGTGCTCACTCCTTCAGTGACATCACCTGGACTCTTGCTCCTACTCCCCTAAGATTCTGCAGTTCAAATCCCACCCTACTAAAAAAACAGCAGCAGATCCTTGGTGGTGGAAATCAGTGCAGCTGCACTGTTGTACAGTGATGGAAGCCAACTGAGGATTTGGGCTTGGAAGAACAGATCAGGGCAAATGCTGACCCTGGGATGCACTCTCCTAGGTCCCCAAAATTTCAGGGAAAAACTATGTGATGATCTGCCTTGTCTCATCCTCAGTTACCCCCAAAACCACTAGCTGCCCTGAGAGTATGTCTAAATGTGCATCTGATTTTCAAATCAACAAATGGTTTTCAAATCAACAAATCCAAGGCAGATAAGCAGAGACGGCAGCATTTGTTTTTCAGTCCGGTGAGCGGGGCAGAGAGACCTTCAAGCAGGGTAAATAAAATATTGCTATTGAGATAAAGAGGTGCTAAGTGTAGCAGAGTCCTTTCCAGCCTGGAGAGAGGCTGGTGGGAACTGATAACCTCACTGCCCTTATGTACTCACTGGACAGCCTGGGAAACACCTCCAAATACAAAGGCTGGAGGGGACAGGTGCAGGGGTAAAAGGGGACATCTGGATTCACAGAAATTTCTAGAAGCAGCTGCAGCTCCAAGGGAAAGCCCCTGCTCTACAGCCTATCTGCAGCAAAAGACACGGGTGCTTAACGTACCTAAGGCCCCCAGGCTGACCAGGGGGTTCTCCCGTGGGTTGATGTGCCGATCATAGGGCCGGTTGCCAAACATGTGAGCAGCGCTGTTCACGAGCCAAGTGGCATTGAGCCCTACGGTGTAGCGCAGGATGGCTGGAATGAAGAAGCTGATGATGATGGATTCATCCCAGAAATACCAGGGCACTAAAGTGGGCATCATGAAGCACAGCAACACCACCGAGGGCTTGTAATACCTGAAAAGGAAGGGACCGAGAAGAGTGTTCAGTGGCAGAGGCAGGACAGGAAGAGCGAGTTGAGTCCTCCCTTAGGAGGATTCATGTTCAGCTATACAGAGAAAATCAAGCGCAGAAATACCCCACACCTGAGCTCTGCACCTTTTGCCCTGGCCGTGCAGAAACCACGCCTGGAGACTCCCAAGTCTTTTTACCAGGCAGGAGACTCAAACTAAAGTCCTGCTCAACCTGTGTCAATCTCAATGTCTCCATCACTGTGAGTCCAGACACCAGCTGCTGCTTTTGGCTTTGTCTGCCATTTGCTTCTCAGCTATGTTGCTCCCCGTAAGGACAACTTCATGCTTGCAGAGTCCCATAGAAGGTCCCTTCTCTGGCTCCAGTCTAGTGCTGCAACTCCTCCTTGCAGACTTGGCCCTGCCTACCAATACATCCCACCAACAAGTGCAAGTAAAGGGACACCGGTGCCATCACACCGATGAGCATGTGGGGTCTCTCACCGAAAGGAAAGGAGTAAAGGAATCTCAACCATTCTGATGACCCACAAGAAAAATCTCAGGCACAAAAAGAAGTGAAGCCATAAACCTTGCTTAGTTCATCTTAGACTGACCTCTTGAGTGAGGGTGGTTACTATATGGGTTCAGTCTTCCACCCCTGCAGCTCTTATGACAGGCTCACCTCTTCCGGTGATCAGTCCCAGGATAGCCCCAGACAGCTCAGAGATACCCCATCCAACACGCACCAGTGCATCAAGACTGTCCTTCCCAGTTACTGACTCTCTCACGTCCCTATTCTCAACTCTTCTTTCACCACACTGCTTCCTGGAGACTAATGGGAGAGCGGCAGAGGCATGGCACAGAACGTGTACCACAGCATCTCCAGGGATGGCCTGGAGGCACCTGTGGGTGGGCTCTGGGCCAGCCAAAGCAGCAGCTGGGCTGAGGGCAGGCAGGCATGCAGATGTTTGGCAGTGGAAAGCTCAGCTTGCCACTGGCAAGATGCTACAGAGTAGGCGGGCAAGAAAGGGGTGTGGGAGGGCTGGGTGTAGCACTAGCCCCTAAATACTTCCTATACAAGTTCGTTTCTCGCAGGCTTCATCCCACAGCAAAGCCTTGGACAGACTGAAGACTCATATTTCTCACATAATTCCCTCAGTCCCCTCATGCTCCAAAGGCACTTGGGGTCCCCAGTCCATTTATGGAATCCCTGCTCTACCTCACAGGGCTCTGCACTGGGGCTGACCCACCACTCACTTCCGCTGGAACATCACCACTTTGTCAGCCTTTATGTCACTCAAGTCCAGCTTCTGGCCCTTCTCTATGACATCTGGGTGCTTGCGCACCAGCAGCCAGCCGATGTGGGAGAAGAAGAAGCCCCGCTTGGCGTTGTGCGGGTCTGCATCTGTCTCGGAGAACTTGTGATGAACGCGGTGGTCCCGGACCCACTCGTAGATGTCATTCTGCAAGGCAATAGGAATGGAGACTTAGGGCCAGGGCTGGAGATGTTCCTTTCAAATGAAGAAAAAGAATTAAAACTTACACACCTAAATCCCATTGACCCGAACTTGCATCGGCTATTTTATTTTTCATTAGGATTTGGGGATTTTGACTTTTAAAGCAAGGGTTAGGTCTTCAGCTTTGATCAATCACTTCAGTTTTCTTTGAAAACTGCTTCTTTGGTGGGCTGCCTTTTTTCCTTTTTAACTGGCTTTTGACTTTTTGACTTCGGTTTGCACATCCTCTACAGCATCACAGGCTCTGATTGCTCAGCCTGTTCCCCCACTCCTGCCATTTCCAGCTCTCACTGGTCAGTCAGTGCCTCCTCCCTCATGCGCTCAGCTCTTGTTGGCCACTTCTCCCCTTCCCTACATGATGCCAGCTGGGATTGATCTGCCTGCCCCTTCCCTTCACTCGTGACATTTTCCATGGGTCAACCTGCCTTGCTTTTCCTGGGATTCATTGCCAAATCATATCTGTTTAACTTGGGGTGAGTTTTTAAATTAAGGCTCCTCTTTAGAAATAGAATAAATACACCATTTGAATGATAGTTATCAAAAACACCCCCCTTCAGCCCCATAACCATTCTGTTTAATTTGCAAAATCAATAGAGTCTGGAAAATGTCAAAGCTCTCATCCTTTGTATTAAAAAAGGATTGGTTTGGCCACTTTTAAGAATAGATCTTAATGAGCCCGTGCTCATACCTTTACACCAATGTGCTTAAAGCCATGTATTACACCCTTCTAGAAAACATGAAACAGAGATCCAAGCATGCCTCTATTGCCTATATTACACAAGAGGCTCCTTAATCTCTTAAGTACATAGGACTTTTCCTCAAAACACTTTGAAGGTAGGGAAGTGGTATAATCATTCGTATTTCTTGCCTGGAAAGACCAAGTGACTTATCTAATCAGGGAGCCTGTAGCAGGGACACAACTCCTTAAGTCCCTCTCAAGTGCTGTAACCACCCCTCCTTCACCTGATATAAAATGATCTACCTACAGGTCATGCAAAAAGGCAATGAAGGACAGAGGCCAGGATTCAAATCTCATGTTTCCAAATACTGGGAACTGCTGCCTGCCTTCCAGCCAAATCCAGAGCACCTCCAAGTATCACCAGAGCTTGGCCACTCAGCATTCCCCCAGAAGAAGATGGCTCAGCAGCCTTCCCTATCTAGTAAGCAGAGAAACAAACCCAGTATCCATGCTGGAAATGTTTCACCTGTAACACAAAGTCTCTTTCGCAGTCTGGACCCTACACAACATGAGAAAGCCCAGCCTGAAAGCTGACAGACAGCTTGGATTTGCACATCTGGGGAGGTTTTCTCTGCCTTCGGGAAATCCTTCCACTGGAAGCAGGAGGCACAAATTTGGAAAGAGACCAGGTACCGCAGCTGGAGCGTGGTACCGCCTCATCCACCACACCCTGTGCACAAACAGAAAACAGGGGTCTCAAAGCTGAAAAGTCAGTATCTTGTCCAAAACTCTAGCACATTATTGTTTCTACAGAATTTATCTTGGGATCACCTCTAACTGCAACGCTGTCTGCAACTCATGGCTTGCTGAGATCCGCAAGCAAAGCCTAGGAGAATGCCTCCTTCCTTGGGAGTTTCCAGCGGCAGATTATAACCGGGAGAGCTCCTGCTGTACACAGCTATCTGGTCTTGCAGGTGGAGGGGCTGACTAGGGGCAGAATTTCTCTGAAATTACAAGCCACAGCTCTCTGAGCGCCGAACAGACATTTTCTGGAGGAATTCAGGTATGATAATCTATAATCTTCTCTGGCCTTAGAAGTTACCAGTCTCAGCTTTGAGCTGCTGCCACTAACAGGAATGAGAGATAAATGGAAAATAAACCTTCTCTTGATCTCACTGGAAATAACTATTAAAAAAATCCATGGAGAACGGTACTGAATTTTCAGTAAAACTTTGGATTAGTTCTATTGAAGCAGAAATATCTGTCTGTCTCTCATCTTTGTCTATTCCTATCCCCTACAGCAACAGCTCAGCAAATTCTTTCCCCCTCTGCCCTGTAACCCTGTGAAAGATGGTCTTTGTACAGGACGAGCCAATACACAGCAACCCACCCTGTTCCCTTGCTGAGTGCTGGACCAGTAGCTGGAATCAGCAGCTTGGTCCTTCCTCTTCCTCATGAAAGACTCTGGTTTGGTACTAACAGAGAATAGGAAAGTCAATGTTGTTTTAGAAAGCTTTTCAAGGCTAAGAAAAACCCATCCCCACCCTATTCTGATTACATGTAGAATGAAGTGATATCCTCTGTGGTTACACAGATGGAAGATAATGTCTCTAAAATATCTGGTTGACTTGAGCTTTACACTTCTCCCATACCTCAGCTGGAGAATTACTTAGGGGCACAGCATCAATATCTCTCTGTTCACCACCTTCTAGCAGAAAGTGCTGCACCCTGCCACCCTCCTGAATACTTTGTACACATGAGCAGGCCTGTATGAAACCCCTTCAAGTGCAGTTAGAGGACAGAGTGCCATGACAGCTGCCTCACAGCAACCACCAGGATTTTTCTGTGCCAGGCCAACCTGGGTTTTCACTCTGACTTCTATAGGGCTATCACTGCTAAGGACTTCCAAGTTTATTTTGTGGACTGTGAAGTGCTCTCTTGAGTGGTTAGGCAATATCCTGAGGTGCTTAGCAGCTGCCTGCAGTCATCTGTGCCACTCTGAATAGGCCCAACCCTTTTCTCCTTGAAAAATCACTGACTTGGGATGCCTCTTTGGAAGCTAGAGGTGTAACTTAAAACAGGGTTATTCTGGTTCTTCCAAACCAGAGAAGCATCCCCCTAATGGCATAATTTCAACAAGCTCTTGGTCTTTCGGCAGCAGCAACTACTACAGCCTGATTCTCTGGGCGGTGCAGATGTGTCCCCACTTGTTGGCCTCTCAGCAAGAGGAGAGTGAGGTAACATCAGGAGAACACTTAACACTTCCACACCTCTTTCAGAGGACCTGGAGCAAGCACAGCGAAACCACACCTTGAGGCAAGTGTACATCCGTGCTCTGGAGAGCTATGCTG